ACATTGTTCATCACTTTGACTGAGCTAGATCATGTGATTTTTTCTCTTTTCAGTGTGTTTCCACATAAAAATATTGATGTCTTTGCCTTATTATTTTTTTCTATATGTATGTGTGTTGGATCATCGTATATTACTAAAACTTTAAATTATCACATTATTACCGTGAATTAGTTGTCACACAACAAAATTTATGAATAATCATGGACATATTCATAAATAAGTGCCAAGATAGTCGTATTGATAAAAGTTTAATGATCTTTTGATGAAACTTTAATGTTCCAAATCATTATGAAAGTATGCATATTCGCTTAATATTAGGGTTCAAACTTAGGTGTTTTGAACCCTAAGAGTCCAAAACACCTCCCTTCTGTTTTTTTTTTCACGTTTGAAGAGCGTTTTAGAAATCGCCATTTCTATTTTACGAATAATGCCGGCCGCGGGATCATCCCCGCGATCCGCGTTTCCTGGGTCGCGTTTAGTCCCGAATTACTCTGTTGCCCCTTCCCGGATTCGACATTGCTTCTTCCATCTTCCTTCTTTCGTGATTCGGGACTAAAGGAAGCTCGCAGTGTCGCTCCCTGCATCTTCGACGTTCTTTCTGCTTCGTCCTTCTTCCTTCTTCGGCACTCCTTCTTCGTTCGCGATTCGCGCATTGGACATTGCTTCTTCCTTCTTCCTTCTTCGACACTGCTTCTTCTACTTCTTCTCTTCCAGATTAGTAGGTATTTGCTCTTAACCTTACTATATTCTATTTTCACTTCTGTATTTTTATGGTTAAGTTCTGGTTTGCTGATCTAAAAGATGTCCTTGAAGTGGAGCAATATCCACTCTCACAGGAGATGATCTTTGGACTCTTAGGGTTCTTCTGTAGCTTTTTTTTTTTTTTTTTTTAAATTTTTTGTTGCTGTGGAAGAGGAATTTGTTAAACCCGTTTCAACCGCTCCTCAACTCTCCTCTGCTCCTTTCTTCTTTTTTTTTTTTTTTTTAATTGTTTTAGCCTTGACTTCTGTATGATTGGAAGGCAAAATGTTGCACACCTAAAGTATAAACGGGCTCTAATTGATGCTATCTATTTTGGTTTTTTAGGAGATTATAATTGTTTTTTAGAACTTAAACCTCCTGTATGATTGTAGACTTTTAACTTCATATTGAATGAAAACTTAATGCCGATGTTAGAAAAAGCTTAATCGGAATGAGAGGCAGAAGCATTAATGCATGGCTATTGCAGTGGAGATATGCTAGAGCTAGTAAATTTCATATAAAAATTAAAGTTTTGGTGGTAGACATGCAAATATATAGAAATTAGGCGGTATGTATGTAACTGCCCCTTTTTTTATTTATATGTTATCAGTATAGTAGTGATCAGTGATTGTTCTGGTGGCTGTGATGAGAGAAAATATTGGTTTTCTCAATTCCTTTGTTGGGAAGAAATTTTAAAATGAAGGGAGAACAACTTGCAAGTTTCTAATGCTTCATCATGAGTCTTTGTGGGCACACCTTTCTCTTTTACCACATAACATTTTGTATGCAACACTAATCTACAATTTTATATACGGACATGTGTCTTTGGAGACTTTGGTTGATCTCCATAAATTAGTTTTATGATGTGCCCACTTCTTACGGCTCCTATTAAATTAACATTTGTCTTTCTTTGTAAAGTTTGTGTTGATGGCCCAGTTCATTATAATATGTACAAGGTATCTTTACTGTGGTGCAGTGATTGCGTTGAACTGCATATAAAAAGCTTCTAATGATGAGGCATATAAAAATGAAGCTTCAGCTTATTATCACTAATAAGCATATAAAAATAAGCTTCAAATGCATGTAAATTTCCTTTTGCATTAGCCAGATAAGATGATCCCTGAACTTTATTGATAGCCATTATAAGGCCGTTTATAGGCACTTTCCCTGTCCCTCTTGGCGATCAGCTTGGATGGCCCTTCTCTTTAAGGGCAACCGGTGCTTTAACAGTGGATCAAATGGTGGTATGTTACCGCAGCAGTTGGAGTGTGCCGTTGAAATGGATGCTTTTTATCACTTTGGTATTATATACTTTCAATGAAATTCTTTCTTTCATTTAACTAGTTTATGAGTAATGATGAAATGGTGGTATGTTACTGCAGCAGTTTGGGTGTGCCGTTGAAATGGATGCTGGTATGTATGGGGTAGATTCTTCAAGTTTACTTTGCTTTCTGCTGTTGGCTCTTAGGCATTTGTTGTTCTGCACCATCTGAGGCTTGACTTTTTAATTCCCTCATTTCTTGCATCGATTTTGCAGTACCTGCTAGAAGTTTGAGGATTATTGTAGTTGAAATGATGGAGGGATTCTGATTGTTTTGGATCAAGATAAGGCCTTCCATGAGGCATATTAGTGTGTTAAGGTGTATTTCACTTTTGTTTAAGTAACTGTGCTTCTGTGATGTCATTTGAAATATTTAATTGATATAAATATTTGTTATTTTTCATGTTCTTCAATCTTCACTTTTATCTCCCTTTTATGATTGCATTAAGAATGTTGATGAATTTGTAAAAAATAAATTTTTGACAATCCCTATGTCTCAAATGAGTATGAAGTGGGTTAATTAGTTGTAAAATAGCAAAATAATAGATATTGTCGTTTTGTTGAGAAAATTACAAATTTTGCGTGACAGATTGTTCATTTAATTAAAAAAATCTGCAAATAAGCTGTTGAAAAAACGCACTAACCAAACAGCTAAATAAATTATCCAGAACAAGGGCAGAATTGTCATTTATTCAGAATCACTTGTTTTGCAAACGCACAAAACAAACAGTCAGTTAGCTTATCTGGATCAGCTGGTCATCGATAAACTGCTTATCAGCATAAGCTGGATGAGCTGCAGCAACCCCAAACAAACCCTTAGCACATGAGGTTGGCTATCAATCTTTGTTAATATATATATACATATTCATATATATATATACATATTCATATATACATATTCATATATATATATGAGCACCCGTTCATTCAATTCTGAATTCTGAAAGCTTTCGTGCATGGCCAGGTAATTGTTTTCTTAGTGAATAAAATATTAATATTACATGAGCTGTGCGCAGCTGATCGCTAACCTGCTGCGCCTTAACAAATAATTAAATTAGACCATTTGTTTAATAAGCTAAGTGAAATGAGCTCACTCTGCAGAAAAGCTTTATTTGACTCGAACACTCCGTATCTCTCTTGCCGGACATTTGTGTGAGAAATATTCAAACATTTGACTTGAATTTTTAAATTTATGAATTTATGAAATGCATTTATGGTGTAGAATGTAATTAGGGGCGTGGTCGGCTCATTTATATTTCGAGCTCAAAAAGTGTGTTCGTGTTCGGCCGTTTGCTTAGCCAGCCGAACACGAGCCGTTCACGAACAAAGAGTCATTTTGACAACCCTAATCACGTAGCTATAAGATATTAAGGATTTGGGTAAGATTTAAAACATCATTTGAATCTAATTTAATAATTTTTATTCTATTTTCTTCATTAATATTTTTAATTGACTATAAATCTTTGTAGCCTTGTAGTTAATTAATTTTTTTTGAAAATACTGCTAATCAAAGATATATATGTAATTGATTGTTACTATTTCGAGCCAAAACGAGCCAAACACGAACGAATAAATATTTATTCGCGTTGTTATTGTTCGGCTCGTTAACTCAGCGAACGAGCTGAACAGGAGTTGTCCGCGAACAACGAACCATTTTGACATCCCTAAATGTAATCATCATCATAACTTAGTGGATCAGGTGTGAAAATTTTTCTCTTAAATTTGA